AGGACTGCGTGGTTCTTGGATTAAGAGACCTTACACTACAGAGCCGACTACTGACCAGACCCAAAATAACATTGACCGAGGCAATAGAAGAAGCCACCGCAGCAGAAGCAGCACAAAGATCAGCAGCCATCATGCGACAGATGAATAAAGTAACACAGGAAACCCCGAAAGACACTAACCAAGCTCAAAACAAGAAGCAAGAGGAGACTCAAAAAACCACCACCACGACATACCATGAGGACATTGAATCCCTATCCGAAACTGATGAGGAAGAAGAAGAAGTAAATCAACTTCAGTCGGAGAAAGGCAGACGGGAGCGCAGGGAAAGAAAGTCGGGGTTTCGTTGTGCCGGGTGTGGAGGGGACCACCCACGTTCCGAATGTCGTTTCTTTGATGCTATTTGCAGGCATTGTGAATGGCGGGGACACATAGCTAGGGCATGCCGAAACAGAAATAACTATAGCCCTAGACGCAGAGGAAATACCCCCCCCCCCCAGAACAAGAGAAAGACAGACAGGGGGCCGTTGGAGCCAAGACAGCAGAAACAAGCGGTGGAAAGAAGCCAATAGAAAAGAAGAAACACACCAGACAATAACTATTGGACACTCGAGCGCAGTCAATGCGAAGAAGGTACTGGTACAAGTCACCATAGAAGACCAACCATGTGAGATGGAGGTGGATTCCGGTTCGTATCTATCAATGGTATCATGGAACACTCTCAAAAGCCTGATACCCGACATGAAAAGAAAGGAACTAGAAAAACAAAAACTCACACTTAAAGACTACCAGGGAAACAGAATTCCCGTAGTTGGAACCGGACACTTCCAGATCAAATTTAAAAAATACACGAAAGTCCTTCCATTGACCATAGTCGACCGGGATCGCCCCAGCTTACTGGGACTCGAATGATTCGAACCGCTAGGAATCGGAGTGACCGGAATAAACAACATCGCTGAGACAGACTGGGAAGAGAACCCGATGAGAGAATTCCAGGACGTCTTCAATGTAGAACTGGGCAAGTACCGAGGGTCCCCTATCTCATTTAATTTGGATCCTAAGGTAGCCCCAATAAGGTTAAAGGCAAGACGAGTCCCTTTTGCATTAAAACCAAAAATTGATGAACAATTAGATAAACTTATCACACAAGGGGTATTAGAACCAATAGACCACACAAGGTGGAAAACCCCAATTGTGACTCCTATCAAACCAGGTGGGTCCGTACGCATCTGCGGAGACTACAAGGCCACCCTCAACCATGCGCTACAACAAAGCGCATACCCAGTTCTGGTGGTACAGCACCTGTTACACTCTTTGGGGGGAGATAGAATTTTCACGAAATTAGACCTTGTGCAAGCTTATCAACAGTTGCCAGTTGACTCAGAAACCGCGGAAGCACAAACAATAGTGACTCATAGAGGGGCATTCAAATGCAAAAGACTACAATTCGGAGTTAGCATGGCCCCAGGGGTATTTCAGAGTCTAATGGAGCACCTACTGCAAGGAATTAAAGGGGTAGTGCCATATTTTGATGACGTGCTGGTATCAGCCAAGGACGAAAAACAACTCGAAGACCGTTTGAGGGAGGTCTTACAAAAATTTAAAGAGGCAGGACTTAAAGTTAAAAGAGAGAAATGCCAATTAGCCACCGATAAGGTTGAATTCCTGGGATATCTTATAGATAAAGAAGGGATCCACCCCACTGAAAAGAAAATCAGAGCAATCAAGGGAGCTCCCAGACCCGAAAATAAAACAGATTTACAGGCCTTCTTGGGACTTATTAATTTTTACAATTAATTTTTGCCGCAGAAGGCAACGATAGCAGAACCGCTACACAGGTTGCTGGATAAGAAAGCTACCTGGACCTGGGGGCGACGAGAAGAAACCACATTCCAGGGAATCAAAGACTTAATTACATCAGACTGTGTACTAATCCAATATAACGAGACCCTGCCACTAACATTAACCTTCGATGCATCACCCTTTGGCATCGGGGCCATACTCAGCCACATATTACCCGATGGAAGAGAAGCACCGATTGCATTCCATTCAAAAACTCTATCAAAAGCGGAGCGGAACTACAGCCAATTGGATAGAGAAGCGCTGGCCGTAATAACAGGAGTTAAAAAGTTCCACGAGTACATCTATGGCAGGGGATTTTCACTGATCACCGATCATAAACCTCTTTCAGGAATACTCGCAGGAAACAAACCCACACCCAACAAATTGTCACCGCGAATGACGAGGTGGTCCGAATTCCTTGCTGCATACAACTACGAATTAATCTACCGGTCAGGAAAGAACATAACACACGCTGACGCCCTGAGCCGTTCTCCCCTACCTGAGTTAGAGGATGATCCTGCACCAACCGCATCAACACTGCACATCGAGACGCTGGCAAACCTACCCATAACAGCAACAGACATTGCGAAGGAAACCGCGAGAGACAGAATCCTGGCGCGGATTTTAAATTGGGTAGGTAAAGGGTGGCCAGAGACCGAAAGCGACGAGACCGTTAAACCATTTCGGCACAGACAAACTGAGCTGCCAATTTTAAAAGGATGTGTACTGTGGGGGGATAGAGTGATCATACCAGACAGATTGAGGGAACAAATACTTAAACTATTACATGAAGGTCACCCAGGTATTGTCCGAATGAAATCCCTGGCTAGGAGTTATGTATGGTGGCCAGGGATGGATTTGGATATAGGGAAATGGGTAGCAACATGCAAACGATGCCAGGAATCCAGACCTGCACCCGCTTCTGCACCTGTGATTGGGAAAAACCTAGGGGCCCATGGTCTAGAATACACATTGATTTTGCTGGACCAACAAAAGGGCATACATCCTTAATAGTAGTAGACGCTTACTCAAATTGGCTAGAGGTAAGCGTCATGCATTCAACCACAACAGAAGCTGTTATTAGACAACTAAGAAAGCTTTTTGCAATGCATGGATTGCTGGATTTAGTTGTATCTGACAACGGACTGCAATTCACTGCACTAACATTTGAGAGGTTCCTAGCCGAACTAGGTATAAGACATGCTTTAACAGCACCAGGTCAGCCGGCTACAAACGGACGGGTGGATCGCATGGTGCGTTTTACCAAAGAAACATTACACAGGCCAGAAGCTGGAGATATCCAGGAAAAAATATATAAATTGCTAACGATACAGCACATCACACCAAATGCCACGACTAACAAAAGCCCAGCAGAACTATTGATGGGAAGAAAACTAAGATCTAGTTTAGATAGACAACACCCCACATATAGCACAGAAAAACCAACAGACTCCTCCAGTAAGTGCCATACATTTAAAACAGGGGACCTGGTCTATGCAAAAAACCTAACGGGGGAGCCATTATGGATACCAGCTAAAATAATCCAAGTAACAGGACCCCGGTCATACAGGGTAGAGACAGACGACAGATAGAGATGGAGGAGACATATAGACCAACTCAGATCAAGGGCCATATTAAGAAACACCAACAACCAAAGGGAAGAACGGGAAGAGCACACACAAACACAAGAACCAAATAAAACTTTAAACCAAAATAATAACCAAACCAGAGAGGGGGGAGACCCCTCAAACATAAATGAGAGGGGAGGGGAAGACCCTCCACAAACACGAAAAATAACAAAACAAAGCCTAACAACAACACAACAACTAACAGTACCATTAGCCCCGAGGGGAAATCAAAATCATGTACCTGGAGAAGAAGAAAACTTCAGAGGACTGGAGCAGGCATCGGAATACCATCACGAAGCCACTCCTGGCAGGAGCAGCCAAGCCGACTCAACCAGCCCGGAAAGGCCAGGTGGGAGCGGCATGGCTGACTCCACCTTCCAGGAGATTCCACAGAAGAGGACGGGAGGAACAGCGAACCCATCCAAGCAGTCCGAAGACAACACCACGACTGAATTGTGCAGGTCCAGTAGGAACCATAAAAGCCCCACCTATTTACGTGACTACGTAACATAGGGGTGGCCTGATTGGTGGGACTGTACCACATAGGGAGGGGTGTTATATATTTGAATGTTTGAATGTTCCATTCTGATTGGTTCAGCCGATGGTGGGAAAATTGATGGCCGTCATTGGCCGCGAGCCGCGAGCAGCCGCTATAAAAGAGGCTGCCGCGGCTCCATTGTTGTTCAGTTACCGAGAAGAAAAATTAAAAGCAACTAAAGATTAACTGGTCTCGAGTCGTCTTTCCCACAACTTAACAGCTAAGATATTTTGTCCAAACAGAAATAGAAAACAGAAACTAAAAAAGAAAGAGAGAGAGGGGAAAAAAACATGGTTAAACTCTGGAGAAAAAAAAGTATAGCTTTCTATGAGTACAGGGTTATAGGTGAAAACAAAAGATGAAAGGATATAGGTGAAAACAGCTTTAGAGAAAGTGATTACAGGTATAAAGATGAAAACAAAAAGAAATAGAGGTCAGCAATAAATAAATATATTAGAGATACAGAATGGAATGATAGGACGATATGATAAAAAATTGGACTTTAAAGAATAAAATATAGTTTAAGTGCCCATAAAATAATACAGTAGTTAAAATAGAACATAGTTTGGGTACTATGAAATCAGTTTCCAAAATAGATGAAGCTGTTTATAATTTATAATTCCTTTGTGGGGGAGGCGGAGGGGTAGCTTTCCTTGTTTTGTAAAATCAGTTTCCTCCAGGCATTGAACAGGGATCCAAAAATCCATCCAACTTTCCAGCATTGTGTGTCTGTATGGAGCCTGAGTCAATCTGGTTATTATTAGTTCAAACAAGAACCAATGACAGAACTTTTGTAGAATTAGTTATTTCAATTTGTCTTTTTAGGTACTCCTGGGTTTATCTGACCCTGAACATTAGATTTGCACCCATCCTGCAAAGGCACATTGATCAAACCCTGATATATTAGATTTACTTACTTTATGGGTCAATAAAAACTTAGCAAAATTCAGAACTAAGTCTTGGGACCTCAGATGTTTGGTCAGATAGGGCCCAAATCTCCCATCTCTGTTTGCCCCATTCTTCTGGACTTTCCAACCCATGCTGTGTATAGATTTAAGCAAATGGGATTGTGGCTGAAGTTGACAACCATTTAATGCTTACAACATTGCTTTGTCTGACTGTCTATTGGCTGAAGCCATGGGGGGGGGGGGTTGACACATGGCTCCCAGGAAAAAAACCTATTTCCATTAGAATTCACTTTGAAGGAAAAATGAATTTTAGTGAAATCACCACAGTTTTGGAGTGTTACTGGAAAGAGGCAGTCCCGCCCTTGAAAAATTGTTGAAGTTCTGCTTCCTGGGAAAAATTCAGATAACTTTTTTTACTCAATTATTCCCTATGCAAACTGGGAGGATGGAAAAATGTTTATGCTCAGATCCAGTTTTCATAAGAATAAGCTAACAGAATAGATAATATAGCACTTACAAATGTAGAAGACATTATAAAATTGGTAACTGGAAACATAGGAACAAAAAAACTCAACAGGTGTCTTATGTAGGGCATAGAAATTGAACTTGTTGTGATACTTATTATGAACAAAAGCAGCATAACCTAAAATGAAAGAAGGAAACATTTTAATATTTTTAACAAATGAAATCACTTTACCCAATTTTCTTTTCTATAACCCCTGTCTTGACTATCTTGACTTAACAAGTTACATGGTGATTTCAGTTAAAATACCCCAACTTTTACATTTGATCATTGCTATCCATGAAACAGATACTGCTTTTCTTCTTCTCATGTTTCCCTTCCTTTGTTTTGCTTCTATAATTAAACCTTAATTCCAATCCCACCACAATTTACTTGCTGGTGTCAGCTCAGGTATGCCAAGAAGGAGAAGGAAGGTGCTGGGACACCTTACATCACCTTACTATCTTGCTAATTTCAGGTCTTTGCTGTCAAAGTTATAGTAACATTAAGAGGCATGTATATCCAATAAATGTAGTGCTAAGAGGAAAGCAAAATCCCCCAATGTCAGCCCTGCAAGGGAGACTCAATCAGGAAGTCAACTGAAATTTGCTATACTTACAGAATCTTCCAAGTCTGATTATGCTTTTTATCCCCTCTTTCTTAGACCCCAAGGAGACAGGGAGGGATCAGCCTGAATCTCTTCTTAATACTAACTCTCTTCCCAGAACTTAATGTTTGCTTCAAGGCTATTTCTCTGTCTATAACCAGCATGCACCAAACAGCAAAAATTCTGTCCCACAAAACTAATCTGTCTCCCTAGGAAACAGCCACTGCACCTACATGCCTGGTACATGACAGGAAGTGGCAACAGAATGGTGCAATGCTTAGCCTTATTTTAAAGCCCAGAAGCAGACCATACAAGTCCACTTTTGAAAGACAGCTTCCACCTTCTGGTAGGTTCTCCCAACTGGAGCCTTTCACACTGGAGCAGTGTGACCATACAGTCTTCCAGGCCACAGGTCAACCAAAAATACAACCATCCCCTTGTTAAGAAGAAGCTACATTGGGCATATACTTACTAAAATAGAAGTGACTGACCAAAAACTGGCAGTATGCTTTTTTTGGCGAAATACGAAGGCAATTATGTATAGGAATAAAACAGTTGATATGCTGTAGCCAAGGAAAAATGCCACCTGAGCAAAAGAAAGCTCTATATTAACAATGTGTTACCAAAAAAAGCAGAAATGTATCCTTCATTTTAATAGCTTATAATAATGTTTTTTATTCTATTCAATCACATTTGATTCTTAGAAATTGCACGGACAAGTCCTTACAGTTTTCTTGGCAAGATTTTTCAGAAGTGCTTTACCATTGCCTCCTTCTTAGGGCTGAGAGAAAGTGACTGACACAAAGTCATCCAGCTGGTTTTTGCCTAAAGCAGAACTTGAACTCCCAGTTTCCAGCCTTAAAAACTATACCAAACTGGCTTTTTAATAATAATTTCATACAATGCTTTAAGTACAAAGAACTTATTTACCAAACTGGCATGGCAAGTGTTTTGACTGAGTGAATTTGAATGAAATTAATTCATTGTAAAGCAGTTTGTGACTATTTATGCAGATGAGTACATTGCAAAGCTTGGTCATCAACCTTGAAACATTCCAGCCAGAGAAAATCCACATCCTTGAAAGAAAAAATGTCCAAATCTTTGCACTGTGAAGGACAAGAACAGTACCAAAATAAAAAGTGATCTTAGGAAGTGCTATTGTAAATTAAAGGTACATTAATCTATACTATTTTTAATCAATGTATTTCCTTTTTTTCTCTAAAAACTTGGTTCCCTACTCCCCTCCCCCAATTTTATTAGACGAATTGGTAGGAATGATGTACTATATCAACCAATTCAGTTTACATTTGCATTCCTTACAGGTAGTGCACAACCTATGACCGTCCATTTAACAATGGCCTCAGAAAAAGTGACACCATCCATCCCCAAAGTTACCACCCTCACACCACACCACAGCCATATGATTGCAATTTAGATGCTTGACAATCAACTCAAATTTACAATGATAGCATCCTCCTATATGGTTTGGAAACTTCTCAGCCAGCTTCTGACAAGCAAAGTCAATTGGGGAAACCAGATTCACTTAGTGACCATGTGATGCATTTAACAACCAAGTTAAAATGGTTGTAAAATTGGATCTTGTCATGTGATGCTTCTCTTAATGATTGCATTACGTAGCGGTCAAAATTCCAGTCCTGATTGTGATTGTAAGTTGAGGATACTTATATTTGTTATTATCTTTCTTGCTGGTGGTAGGGAGTTTGAGGAAGGCAAGGACAATGTGTCTAAATGAATGCTTTTGTGGTGGAGGATGGTCCAGGGAAAAAAAACCCTCCCCTAAATCCTCTGATTGTTTTAGTCAGCTGGTATGTCAGTAGAAACAACCAGTTCTTTCTTAATTAACTTTGTTTATTTCCAAGATATTTCTGAATCTAAGTTTGTATTTGGCTCCACTTATGCTTACACCCCACAAACACCACTGGCCATTAACTGTCACTTTTTTCTAAAAGTGATGAATGGGGACAATGTTTCTCTCTCAGTTAGCGCCAGTTTATTGCTAGTTTGTGGTTGTGGAGTGGCTTTTTCAGACTGTTAAAGACATATGTTGCTGCCATTCAAAGTCTGTAGAAGGAACTACAACTAGTTCTCAACGTACACCCGCAATTGACCCTCAATTTTCTGTTGCTAAGTGAAACATTTGTTAAATGAATTTTGCCCCATTTTACTACCTTCCTTGCCATAGTTGTTAAGTAAATCACTGCAGTTATTAAGTTAGTGACACAGTTAGGTGAATCTGGTTTCTCTATTGACTTTGCTTGTCAGAAGATTGCAAAAGGTGATCATATGACCCAGGGTCACAGCAACCAACATAAATATGTACCAGTTGCTAAGCACCCAAATTTTGATCACATGACCATGGGGTTGCTGCAATAATTGTAAGTATTAAAAATTGTCATAAGCAGGGATGGGATCCGACCGGTATAACTACCGGTTCGGTCGCTCTGAATTGTGTGTGCATGCACGTTTCGTGCGCGCGCACCTGACGCATGAGTTGCGCGCCTGCAATTTACAACCTGCTGAGCTGCCCGGACAGCTGAGCATAATGCTTTTTCAATTGCAGCTGTGCCGTGCAAAGCAGCTGTGGTTGAAAAAGCAGGAAATAAAGGACAGGTAAGAACCCGGATGGGCGGGTGGGCCAAAACAGCAACAGACACAGAACCAGTTCTGTCTGCTACTCTTCAGAACTACCAGTTCTGTAGAGCCAGACAGAACCAGTAGAATCCCACCCCTGGTCATAAGTCACTTTTTTCAGTGCTGTTGTAACTAAATTGTTGTAAGTGGAGGACTACCTGTATTCTGGTTATTATAAAAAGGTGTGAGTGCTTATCATTAAAAATTGTAAATGTCAAAGCTGACTGAAAATCACATGTATGATGAATGAAATTCAATTACCAAGCAGAAAATCAAGCTGGGTGCAAACTGAGGATTTGTAGCTCCTATATTTATAAACCATGGCCAAAGAATTAAAAGAAGAAGAATGCAATTCAGGGGCATATCCACCAGAGCTTGTCCACACCAGTAGGCAGAAGGAAAAAGTCCAGCAATCCGCAGCTGGGAATGAGTCCTTATCTAGCAAAAAAGGTAATAAAATTACCAAATAATGACTAAGTAATAAAATTACCAAATAATGACTAATTAAAGGTTTGCATAAATTCAATTCAGGAAGGTGACAGAGATAAACACAATACTATATTTCCTTCCCTCCCACAATGTTTATCAGTAAGTTGATATAGCACAAGAAAACATAACAGCCATTTATAGCTATCCAGTCTAGAAAATGAAAGTTATGTAGGCCACTACTACTTAAAGTTGTAGTAACAGTATCTTACAAGTCTGAATGCCCCTCCTCCCTCTCTCTTTCCTTCCTATTTACAAATATTGTCATACCAAGATACTTGGTTACTTATAGTCATTGTTTAATATTGTAGCAGAAAAGTTAAATTTTGTCATACATCTGGTAAAAGTCGCTCTTGCTTAGGGCAAAACCCAGAAAGATCTTGCATGACTCCTAGTAGGCAACTTTTTTCTAGATATAATCTCAGCCTATGTGGAATGCCTTAGATACTTCATTAGACATCATCAACAAAACTCTTAAGAGAAAGACTTGTTGCACTGTGTAAATTCCCTTCACACCTTTACTTTGGAAGATGGATGTTTTTCCAAACAAGTATAGTTTGCACTTAGAGGAAGAGGAGGATGGAAGATGAAAACCATACATGCAGACAGATTCTAGTATTATTATTGGTTTTAACAATGAAATGACCTTTCTGGATAAACTTGTTCCTTTAATACAGTTTTAGATATACAGTAAGCTTCTTTTTATAGGCTTAAGTCTTCTAAAATCTTGTTATAACAATAATATTTCTTTTTACATTGAGCATTGTTTCTCAATCGAAGATGTAATTTCTTTCAGTGTTGCATTACTCTTTAATGTAATAGTCATGGTATAAGAAGAGAGCTGTATACCACAAAATTTCATTTTAATGTATGCTGATTAGCGTACGTTCAAAATGACAATAAAGTTATTATTGTCATTATAAAGGAGATGTGCAGCAAAACTTACATACTTGCCTCAATATAAAATTGCATTGTCATGATGATGTCACTGTTTGCTTATCATCAATTTGCCACCATTATAGCATGATAATGAAATTCTGGAAGAGCATCCTCTCAGAAATAGATATGGCTTCTACCCTTCAAATGTTCTGGAAGTCTTTTAGGACCAGACTCTGTTCCCATGCCTGAGTTTAACATATTTTGGTGCCCCTCGTGATTTCCCCCAGGCATTTTTTATGTTGTTTTAAACTTTTGAAATTATGTATGTGTTATTTTAAATATTGTAAACTGCCCAAAGGGTTGATTTTGTTTTGTTTTATTGTTTGGTGTTCAGGCAAATTTGAAATCCAATCAATTTAAAAAAAAAAAAACATTTCTATTTTTATTAGATAGCATCTGCACAAAGTCAAGAGAATTGCAATGATTTTTAAAAAGTCATAGCTATAATGATCAATGAGAAATAAAATCTGAATACAGATACTGTTCACCTGTGGCAATTGATAGAACCTTTTAACTCACTCCTGCTGTCATTTGCAGATGCCACGTGGAAGTACAATATAGGCATAAAATCAAAGAAATATAATTATTTTACCATGTAATCTTGATTGCTTCGCATTGCAAATTGTGGTGGAAAAGCAGGTAATACAATTGAGGCCGCAACCATGTAAGTTTCCATTAACATCCAGAGGTGATTATCTAAATGTTCCTGAGGAATAAATTAAAGTATGTTTTAATTCCATTGTGATAAAATGTCATAATAGAATAGCTATTATTAATCTATTTAGTCAGTGAGCTTAGAAACATCATTATTATTTTCTTTAATATTTTCTTTAAAATAAGTACAAGCACAGCTGGAGGACCTTGACTTCCTGACTCTGACCTTTGGCCCTGCCTCACTCCTGCTCAGTTGCATGTTGTACCTTTTGATTATTGATTATGTAGTACTTTCATGTACTCATTTTCCGAAGGCAGGAAATGTCCTGACCAAGCTTCTCCTATTTAAGCCTTCTGAAAGAAATGGAGATTTCATGTTTGGAAATAATCCATAAAGTGGGAATAATAATAATGATAATTAAAGAGTTTTCATTATGTCTTCTGCCTGTTAGTTGGTGCTTATGAATGCATTCTTTCAGTCTTCTGCCCAGAGGTGGTGTTCAGCAGGTTCTGACTAGTTCTGGAGAACCGGTAGTGGAGATTTTGAGTAGTTCAGAGAACCAGCAAATACCACCTCTGACTGGGGATTTTACAGTATCCTTCCCCTGCCACGCCCAGTAAAAAAAATTTGAATCCCACCACTGCTTCTGCCTGTTTGTTGTACATAGGGGCTGTTGCAATCTTTAAACTGTATCCTGTAGATGACTCCTCTTTTCCTTCTTCTGGGACTGTTGAGCCTTTTGATTTATGTTGAAAACTCTTTAATCTCACAACATATGGGCAGACTTAATCATAGCTCCAACTGGGAAACTGTCACCATCCTAGGCCAAGCCAAGTCCAAAAAAGCTAGAGAATTCTATATATTGTGCAAAAGATGCAATCAATAAACAAAAAAGGAACAAAAAAATGAAACACTTACCCACCAGCAATTAACACCCAGATGAGCATAGATTAACATCACCAAGATTAACATCAGGAACTGCCAAACAAGCTAATCCTAGATAGCCCAACCTAGTTACCTCCAAAACCACTCTCACCAACACTGACAGGACAAGCCACTAGAATATAACTGAAGAACAGTCCCCATTCCTCACTCATACTGATCGTGTTTACCTAGTTGGGTAATAAAATGTCTGCAAGAAATTCAGAGAACACCAGAGACCCCTCATTTCAACTCTGAGCTACAAATATTCTCCTTTATTGGTAAAAGGATATTTTCTGCTTGGGGCTCAAATGATTTAATGATGGTTCTTGACTTTTTTTCATTGTGGCAATTGCACAAGAACTGAGTGGCAACCATGCTTATGATGGTTGAAGGAGTTGTGCTTGCCAAATTTAACCTAACTTTCAAAACTGGGCAAAACTCAGATGTAGTATTCTGCAAAGCCCACAATGTAGTAACAGGATTTAATGGACTGAGAGTAAACAAGTACTGATGAATGTGTTAACTGGAAATGATATTGTAAAATCAATTTTATCTTTGTAAGAGAAACACTATGCTCTCGTGGTTCAGGAGTAACTGTGGAACTCTATCAGCCTTAACATAAATACTAGTCTAGCCCTGTCACATGACTATTTACTTTTTTAACCACATACAATTGGGTCATTAAAACAACATTCATTTGGAATGCAATCTTGTTGAATGCATAAATTCAACTTCCCCTTGAATGGCTGGGGATAGGACAAGATTGCAGGAGATATTCCTTGAACATTTTAAACTCTCCCACCACTGAAGCTTCTTAGCAATCTCCTTTTACCTTTACATAACATCCTGAAAATTATGAATAGAATATATTGGAAAGTAAACAGGAATATTTTCCCTCCTGCTTCATGCACACACAAAAACCCTTCATTTGATATTCCTCTGGAACACTTACTTCGGTAAATACATGATTCCAGGTTCGAAGATGGGCAGTAGAATTAAACATATGCAGAAATGCATTGCTGATTATGTTGACAAGCACAGGATAGCAGTTAGTTATCTCCATATGGCACATAAGTGTGAACCTGTATTTCTGAACCAAGGCAAAAAGTCAGAACACAAGGGACCCAAGTAAAGAACAACAGTTCTAAAGAATATAATTTACATAATTACAAACTTAACTTCTAATAAAAGCCATTTGGTTTTTTTTCTAATTGGAAAAAAGGCAAAAATTATGAATGCACCTTTTTGAAGCTAAGGTCTAATTTGGCCTTTGAACTGAACTCTTAATTTCCTCCTAAATTTATGTGGGATCATAACAAAGAAGTAGGCAGGACCAGGACAAATTAGTAACAGCATAATTATTCCAGACATATTGTATACTTTCAGTTTAGTAGCTTTGGAAGCCATATTAGCACCAGAAGCTTCCACGCTGCCACATTCTTGAGCCTGGGAAGGGGGGAGGGGGGATTTTCATGGAGCGTGTGTGGTTAGACATAATAGCATTCTTCTTTAGAGTCAAGGTCATATTGTTCCTGCACCTGGCTGAGGAGTAGTAGAGGGGACGTCTCAAGTTGGGATGGATGGTGACTGGAGTGATGGGGGCAGGAGGTGAATTTGTTATTTTACTTATTGGGGGGAAACCCAGGACTTTCAGATTCGGGATTTCCCAGATGTGCCAGTTTACTACTCTAATAAAAGGGAACTTTGAGAACATGTCTGGTTTGGAGTTATGTGTTACAGTCGAGTTTTTCTGGAATGCTGACAACTCTGGCCATTCATTTTGGACCATACGTTGTAGACCTCTGACATATGTATACTATGCCTTATGTATGACCATCCATTAAAGCAGAACACAGCCATCCCACAGAAGTGTCATTAGAAATTTAATAGAATTTTAAATTATTTTTTAGAATGGAAACCAGTCTTGATCATTTAAAAAAATCCTCATTCTTAACATACCAGTAGTAAAATAAAAATTCATCATATTGAAAATACTACAATTTTCCACACAACATCCTTCTTTGCATCTATACAATGTTATTTGTATCCCTAGTAGAAATACTGTATATTTCTATTCCTTTTGATGAGAAGTTACTGTTTCTTTAGCATCTCTCTAGGATTTGGGGTCCATTTTAGATTATAGATGAAGAAGTAGACTTTTTTTTTCTTTTCTGTTATTATGACTCCACTAAAGCACCACAGTGCTTTCTTGAATAGAAGTTATCATCTCCTCAGACAGTCATATTAGATTCCTTGGTCCATTGTCAAAAAGGAGGAAAAGAACTTATAGTTACCTTGTTTTCAAGGTTTACTTTGATGGCCCCGTTGTGAACCAGCTGGTCACTGACTATGTTACCAGAGATGACGTCCATCAAGATGTTTTGACTCTTCAGTGCCTGGATAAAATTATCGATTTTTCCACCTGGAAAAAAAAGATAAAATGAATTTGCAGAATAAAGAAAGAAGAAAGCATTCAAGCAATGAACAGTACAGAATTTAAATGAAATTATCTTTGTACCTGCCATTAGCATGGGAAACCATGGCCTCCAAACATTGATGAGTACAATTTCTCAGCCAGTGTAATTCCCCTTAATGAAGCTTATACAGTATAAAGATATAATTCTTTTACTCTGACTTTAAGATAATATAATTCCGCAGACATTGTCTCTAGGAATTTAAATTGCTTAGCATGCCAATCATTATAAGAAGATGTACCACTTTAGAAGGAACAATTTTAGAGAGATTTTCTAGTTATTTAATTGGCCATATTACTTAATACAATATTTCCTGAATGATATGCTGGTTTCCGAATGCCTTTTAAGAATAAGAGAGACTGCACAATTTGCTCATTGAATTAACCCTCCATTGCAGTATACCCATTTTCTGCTGGGCTTTTTTAAATTTGTGTTTTGTAAACCAACACTAAAGGGAGAAATTCCCAATTTGGAACTCATAAATTTTAGTATTTATTCATTGTAGATATTTTAAGCCAACAAACCATTGGATTCTAAATGGCTAAAACATGGTTGAAACTGTGTTGGATTAAAATGTGTCCTAGTTCAGTAAAGGAATAGGAGAGAAATGGGAGAGAATCTCCTTTTAGATTGATTGTGCTGTATCTGAGCTAACTTTCCACTATATTTCAGTATCTTCTTGAAGTTTCAGTGTGCGATTCAACTTCTTTTTCCCATAGTCCCTTCTCACTTTAGCTGGTAGAAAAAGGTGGGATTTCCCAGCACAAACCACTTGTGTTTCACCCTGATTTTCTCCAATCACATCATTTAAAAATAAGACTGTGCCAAAAGTTCTTAAAACTGGAATTATTTAGCAATGCATTTGAACAGAGATAGTTCACCTTAGAATTCTGCTAGTTCTTTCTACTGCATTCTGAAGTTAGATATAAAGAATCAGTAAGGCACCAACTATCTCATAAATAACTGATTTATTCTTCAGCAGATTTAAGTTCAGCTCATGTTCAAGAGAAAGTTCTCAAGCCAATTTAAGCGCCAATAGAATTAACCCCCATTAAAAATATCATACAATTGTCAATGTCTCAAATTCTGTTTTGTATTCTTACCTGTATTATTAATGACCAGAAGTCCTGATGTCCCTCCGAAAAACTGTTTCCCTGGCTCAAAATAAAGCCCAGGATGAATCTCTTCATATTGAAGATTCAACCAAACAGAGTAGGTTGTAAATTCGATAATATAAGGTGCTAATATAACTCCAGTAAGTAGTAGCCTAAGATAATGAAATATTAAGCATGAGAGAAAAGTGACGTTTGATCAGTTCCATTCTATTGCATTTATAATATTAGGCATTATAGAGAAGTATTTGATAATTAATGAAGTGTGTTATCAGAATTCTTGAAGGACCCAAGACAAACTTCATTCTTCCATACAGACTCTTATTTATATCAAAGTTTTAAAATGTTTTTAAGAAGCAAAGTAGCTTTGTGGAAGTAGAAATGAAGTAGATGTTTCCTACTTGTTGAGATCTCCCTTCTGTGCTCTATATATTGAAGGAAGCCTTAAACTAATCCTAAAAATTACTTTGGTCAGACTTATTTACACTACAGTAATCTCCTGGGGAACAATTGAATGAATATTCTATTACTAATTAAGTAGTAGGTAGTCCGCAACTTACGACCACAACTGAGCCCAAAATGTATGTTGTTAAGCAAGACATTTGTTGAATGAGTTTTGCCCCATTTTACAACCTTTCTTGCCACAGTTGTTAAGTAAATCATGGCAGCTGTTAAGATAGTTACACATTTGTTAAGTGAATCGGATTTAGTCATTGACTTTGTTTGTCAGAAGGTCATAAAAGATGGTCACGTGATCCTGGGACACTGCAAACCTCATAAATTAAGTTAGTTGCCAACTGTCTGAATTTGATCATGTGAACATGGGGATGCTGCAATCGATGTAAGAGTGAAAAATGTCACTTTTTTCAGTGATGTTGTAACTTTGAATGGTCACTAAATGAACTGTTGTAAATCAAGGACTACTTGCATCTATATAATAAATACTATATTTTCAAAATCTCAAAATACTGTAGTATTATCTACCCAAGTGCTCCTATGGTATTTTGGAGGCTTTGAAATTATTTTATAACAACACAAAAATACTTTTCTAAATTAAAAAAATAAGAACCAACATAAGGCATGGACACAAATTGATCTGTTGTCATGTAAAGATTGAATGATGAAACTATTGAAATTTCTGATTTTGGCTGAACTGAACTTTGGCTTGTCTCACTCCTAGATGCTGGATTTGCTGTAAATAATTTCCTTCCCTGACAAGCAAGAAGAAGCAATGTAAATATAACAGCTCTAGGCTTGGGTAGAATAAGTACTGTGGTAATTTGGAAGCATGGCAAGGGGATGAAGTAGCTGGAATCATTGGATGAATGTCCCCTATCTGAGATCATTGTTCTCTTTCCAAACTTGGAGGGAGAAATGTGAAATATCATTATCTCCTCTTGAACTTTGTTCCTAACCACTGTAGGTTTGCAACTTTGAAGTGTTACTAAAACCTGCCTTTTCTTTAGCTTATTCAAGGTTAACGGAGGCATCCAAACTCAATGATCACAGCCTATGATTCTAGTCTTCTCATTAAAGATAAAATTGATAAATCGTTTTTTAAAAAGACACTCACAAGGTTCCCCAGATTTTGCTCTCCCTCTTGAGGTTTAGAAAGTGCATTCTTGCAATGGCATAAACTTGCTGCCTCCAGAGCTCTGTGCCTTTCACCGTCACCTTTCCCGTGTCTGAGAGCAACAGATGATCCTGTTCCGTTTCATCCTTTCCTGCCACTTCCCCTCCATGAAGAATTCCATAATCTAAAACCATTTTGAAAGTCAAAACAATAGTCTTATTTCAGCTGAAGGAAAATCTTGTTTATCCATGCTTACTCTCTCCTCTTCTCAAGTCCTCTTCTTCCTGTTGGCTACATCTCCTATTACCAAAAGATCAGTCTAGCCCCTTCCCTTGGGTCTTCAGAAATGATAGAAGAAAACAATGAAAATCCAGCTCCATAGTTATCACTGAGAGTTTTCTCAGAAGGAAGCCTGAAAATAATACAATATTGAAAACAACACTTTACCTTCTTCCTTTATATTTTCATTTCCTTCTAGCTTCAAGAAGACATCTTCCAAAGTCGTCATGGTAACTCCATAATTAATGAGCCCTAGGTTTGTCTGATGATCCATATCACTGAACAAATCTACATGTTGGGCAAGGGAAAACACATACCAAATTGATATATCCTTTCAACTTAAAGGAAAGGGCAAATACCCATTGGAATTATGTGTAATTTCATTTCATTGAAAGAAAATGATATTTTAGGTGAACTGTTCTTAAGATTTGCTTTTAATTTTTTAACCTCCTGAGCCTATAACAAACCAGTTATAATCTGAGAAAGTTAATCAATATATCCACCATACATCAACACCATTTCAGAAGCATAAAAACAAACAATCCAATGAAGGCAAAGTTCATTTCAGAACTTTGGTTTATTTTACTTTACTTACAGAATCATTTTTTAAAAATATTATTCTTTGTTTATGAAGCGACTGTTTGTAAATGAAAAGATAACTCTTTATCTTGAAAAGCTGGGAATAACTGCAAGAGGGACAGTTTTGCCCAAGAGAGAAAAAGAGAGAAAAATATGAAGTTTTTATTTACTAATTAATGCACAAATAGTATTATGTGATTATCTAAAGAGCAGACTAATTTAATAAGAAGTTTGCTGGTTAATTTAGCACAGAAACTGATTTCATCACAGGATTGTGAAAAGGACATTGGGTAATATGCTGACATTTTAAAAGCCATTGAAATCATTGTATTATTTAATATATTCATTGCTTCCAAAGCAAATTTATATTAGTAGATAACTAAAAACAGTACAGTATTTGAAAGATACATATTAATTTAAACTGAGCATGGGTTGGAATACATTTTATTCTCTTTGAAAATTCAAGTCAAGTCAATTCACTCTATTTTTCTATTGTTTTCTTAGACTGTCATGACAGGGAATCTGTTATTATTATTTTAAAGTATATATGATATAAATATGTATAATATTAATTCCCTAATAGTGAAATAAAATATTGCTCTCTGTAACCATAGTTTATAAATTGATAAAAGAGCAAAAATATACTCTGACACAAAAAAATACATTGTATTCATCACATATTATAAATGCATGGTTACTTATACAACAAATTTGCATTGCTATATTGGTGAGGGGCCTTTTATTTTCATAAATCTAATTAATCAAAGTTAGAATTGTGATTGTTCATTTTACTGTCATGTAATGATAATGGCTTTTGTCTGTAAAAGATATGTCTTATATGATAGAGCAGTTGATTAAATTCTTTGGTTCTCTGTTTTCATGTGGTTAATCATATGAAATGTTAATTGCAAACTTAATTTTTAAATGGTTTTATTACATTTTAATCTGTATATTGCTCAAAGGATAGAACATTGGATAATACAAAATTTCATCTGGATTGGTAAGAAAATAATATTAAACAACTTTCCTCTGTTGTCCAGGAAAGCATGGTTCACATGATCTCAGTGTTTGGTTTTTTAGGAAACAGCAGTTAAATTCATTTTATTTATACAGCTTGAAAATTACCTGAAAACTTATCCACATTTTGTAAAGGCAGAGTATAGCTCAGCTCATTCTCATGTTGTCCTGATTTTTTTGCAGCAGGGATATGGTGTTTGACCAGTGATGTTATTCTCTCAAAGTTACAAGACTCATTTGTATGCATCCTGTTCATATTAATAACAATTTAGGTCAAGAGCAATGTCCAATTCATTTATTCAGAATATTAAATGAATCCTTCCAACTAAAAACCAAATTTCAGCTTATCTCATGCATCCTAAACTTCCATAAAGCAACTTAGTGCTGGTACTAAGAGCTGACTTGCTACAATTAAAACATTTTAAAAATAAAATAAAATAGACTATGTCCTAGCTTATAATTGCCTCACTAATGCACCTTTCTTCATATTTAATTAAAACAATAGGATAGATATAAAAAAACTTTGTTTCTTTTCAAATGCATCTTTAAATCAGATTTGATTGGGGCATATATGATAAGAACTTCCTCAAAATATTTGGGAAATATGAAAGTAGACTATTAAACATTTTTAATAAAAACATTTCACCTTGAAGGCAGGGTATGTCAAAGTATATTTATATTAGAATTCAAAAATACTGGATTCTTAAAAGAATTTTAAATAATGACTCATCTTCATATTAATTTTATAAGATGGGTAATCCTGCTGGATCAAGACATCCATAGACCAGTATTTTGTTTCCCATAATAGCTAATCAGAGTCTTCTGGGAATTTTGCAAGCAGTAGGTAGATGGCCAAATGTTGTTCTTTTCCCAACGATATTTTGAGGCAATATTGAATGTTTAGAATAAATAGCTCTTACTAGACCTTTCCTCCATGAATTCATCCATTTTTTTTGTGAAGCCATCCAAATTAAGAGCTATCACCATACATTATAATAATTAATTCCACAGGTTAATGATGCACTATATGTTCTAAAACTTCTTCCACTCACTTTCAGTCCTAGTGTTTTTGAACGGATTAAACTTTTCCAGTCTACGCCCTCTGTCCTATTTACAATGTTATATCCCTCAGTTGCTTTTTTCCCAATATAGAGTACTTTACATTCTAGCCAAATCTTACAACGAAGCTCAACACACAGAAACACACATTTCTAGTTGTCCTCTTCTACACTTTTTCCAACTTTATTGTATAGCTTTCAAAATGTGGTGACCCAACACTACATAGTATTACAGCTGCAAATATAACTATTTGGTCTGATTCATTTAGTCTGTCTGATGGCACAATGGCAACATCCGTTGGCATTCTTGAGCAAGTAGACATTTGGTCTCTTGACGTTTTCAGACATTAGATTTCTGACATAATTTCAAGGAAAGCCAGTAGTTAAGCTTTTGAACAGGATGGGATACAAGTAGATCCTCATTGAATTTTGGAAGCTTACTAGATGACTTCAGGCCAGTCACTATCTCATCTTCCTCCCTGTTTTGGTGAAATCATGAAAGAAGGAATGCTGTGTAGGCCACATTGAATCCTTGGAGGAAAGATGGGCTATGAAGCTATCAAATAAATAAACAGAACAATCAAATCCCCCAATCAAATTGAGCAGCTTTTTTGAATTCTTGCTTTTGTGAGGCCCTTCTGCACATTTCTGTACACATTCAATTTATATGGCTAGCAGGAACTCCAAACTCCCTCTTCAAGTGTGCTTCCCATTGTCTTTCTTTCTTACAATTCAAGCATACAGTGAAGATTTCAAACAAACTTTAGATATATTTATTATTTCATTATTTTTATTCTTTATATGTTTCTATAAAATTGTTTACTTGTTGTTTTTTAAATGTTACTTTTCTTTATTATTGAGATTTGTTTTTGCATTTCCTCAAGTGTCTGTATTTCAAAATGGAAAAGCAAGAACAAATGAAGGACTGAAAGAATGGATTAAATATTCCAGCATAGAATTAATATTAAGCTTTTCAACTACAATGAAAATATATCCATAACACTAACATCTTACTAGTACCTTAAATGATAACCAATGCCCCATTTTTTCTTCAAGAACAGGGATGAACCAACACACTGCAGCCTCCCATGTGAGATAATAGCTTTCCGGTCTACATAAAGAGCAAACAGCATTTTTTAGTTTAATAATAATAATAAGTACTATTTGCCAAATGCAAAGTATTAAACATATAGTTGTTGGAGATTTAATGGAGTCGATGCAGAAAATAAAGCACTGGTTTGAGTTGAATCCATCTGAGATGGGCAGTAAGAAGTTCATAAATAAATAAATAAATAAATAAATAAATAAATAAATAAATAAGAATTCCATCTATCTACAGATAGAACAATCAATATACTAGAAACAAGAAAGGAAGTAACAATGACGGATCTAAAAAGTCATTGAAAGTAAAAGGTGAGTAAGAGGTTCAACGGGCTGAGTAGGGTAGAGAGGAACAGCTGCAATACATGAAAATCCTGAAATTGACAGGAGAAGCAGACTGATACATAGTGATATATGTGACTGGATTTAAGAAGTTACATGGATCAGCTGACTTAGTGCAATTCAATAAAAGGCCTTTCTGATTGATAGGAACAGAAGGAGAAATAATGGTATTTGAAGAAATAACATTACAGTAAGTACTATTTCTATAGTTTCTCTTTGTTCCTACATTCTAATCTGCTTCAGCATGAGGTCTGCTCACCAGAAAGGATATCAGCTTCATCCATGAACTGGGTGGTGAATAAAATGACTCGACCTGCTTTGCGTTCATTCAGGAGAGACCACACTTGGTGTCTAGAATATGGATCCAATCCAGAAGTTGGCTCATCTAGTAATAATACCTACAGTAGGCATTTGATTGCATATCTTAATTCAACATGATTAAAACAACACATAGCATTCATTGTTGAATGCAATTTCCCATTATGAAGACACAAGAATATTGCAAAGTTGTATGGATTTTGAAATAACATTTAGAAGATTTTATTTTTATAATAAAAAATTCTATTAAAATTATTGCAAATTTCATTTAACTTGCAAAAATCAAGAAAATGTTAAGAAAGGGGTGAGACAATAAAGGTGAAAGAAAGGGAAACCATATCAAAATTAGAGATTCTGATTATTTAGGGATTTCCATGATTACTGTGCAAGTCATTGATAAGAATTAAAGCAATGCATTCATAAAAAAAGCATACTTAATGGTATATGTACAATGGGACTTTTTACCTAATAGTGGGTTTACCTGTGGTTCTCCTAAAAGTGTAATACCAAGAGATAATTTTCGTTTTTGTCCACCACTTAAATGATTAGCTTGGGTGTTTTGAGTGGCCTTGATGTCCAAGAGTGTCAACAATTTTTCAACCTATAAAATACATACATTTCAATCATCTTGCACTTCTTACCTAGAAATTCAGTCTCTTAACTGAATGAAAGAAATGGACAGGTAGTCCATATATTTTATATACTTAGTTTGTAATGTATGTTTGGATCTTATTTATGTTGCTGCTCATCTTTGAAACATTTTAAAATTTTGTTGACTATTTAGCTTGAATGTATTTAGCTTGAATGACCTTCCAACAGGTAAGTAATATTTTATTGTAAATCAATATCAAGCACTGAAAGTTGAATCCTTCATTTAGGCAGACCAGATACCTGAAATTTACATGGCCATAGTTTGCACACTCTTTTCCTGAAGAAGCCAAATTATATTCACCAAATGTTTGTACTTCAGGGTTTTCTTGGCTTCTTTCCGAAGGTTTAAAAATAAGCTTTAGCTTATTAATCTTATTTTCATCATTTCCCTTGACCGTTAGTTGGTCAGATTCTTGTAGAGAGTTTAAGTTTGCAATAAATCTTTATATTCATTTGAACTGCCTGAATCTTCTGACTTCCCTGGCATTTGACATTAAGTTGATTATCTACACATTTGTCCTACTGATTCCAAAGCATAAGTGAAGTTTTCTAGAATGGACTGGCTAAATACAATCAGAGGAGAATAATGTTATCAAATCTAAAGGAACGGTGTCCTACAATGGAAGAAGTGAAAAGGGGAAAATGTAGAACATAACACCTGTGCAACACAAATCTGTGCAGGACAAGATAATATGACTGAATCCATTATTACCTCTTTTTCTACAGCATTGGATGGTATCCCCTTTATTTTAGCAAATGTTTTTAAGTTTTCTCTCACTGTTAAAAATTCAAATTGAATATTCCATTCTGGACAGATAGCACTTATTTCCCAAATCTTTTCCATATGTTCCTTTTCACATACATTGTACTTGAATATGGATGCAAAACCTGTAAGCAATAATAAAATGATTACATAGAGAATTTTCCAACTAAACAGGCTGCTATTACTTTAGAATAGGTTGAATTAAAAGACTGTTTTTCAAATGGGCTTTTCTGTTGTTTATCCAATTTATTATAATATATGCTATTAATGACTGTCTTCCTAAGGCTAGTTTTACCCTTAGCATTAAAGGGGATTGTTACCCCCTACCCCGCCCCAACAGGTGCTGGTCTGTACTGCAGTCTGGGAGCTCTCCAGGATAACATGGAGAGGAAAAGCGTTCTCCAGCTTCCCTGCTCCACCAGATGAAGCCATTCTTGATGCAGTATACTCCAGTTTCCATTATTCATCTATTCACCTAACATTAGGATGCTACGCTTGGAGCTGCATTTAAAACAGTGGGAGCTTCAACTCAGGATTAACTCCTGGTGACTCCCTTGACTGGTCTTTACAGTTTTCCTGGTAATGTTTCAGAAGTGATTTGCCCTTACCTCCTTCCTAGAGCTGAGAGGGAGTGGCTGGCCACTGGTTACTGGCCTGGCTTTGTGTGGTAGGACTACAAGTCCCAATCTTCCGATTCCTATCGTGCCTTAACCAGTACATCAAACTAGCTCTCCTTTAAGACTACTGGGAAGAAAATTGCTAAACATTTTTCAAAGAGACATCAATATAAATCTGCATAATGGAATAACAATATAAAATGTCATGTCAGTACTAAAATAATACAGGTAGTCCTTGAGTTACAATCACAACTGAACCCAAAATTTATGTTGCTAAGTGAGAATTTTTTCAGAGAGTTTTGCCCCATTTTACAACTTTTCTTGCCACAGTTGTTAAGTGAATCACTGCAGTTGTTAAATTATAACACGGTTTGAAGGGAATCTGGCTTCCCCATTGACTTTGCTTGTCGAAAGGTCATGAAAGGTGAGCACATGAACACTCCAACCATTATAAATATGAACCGGTTGTCAAGCATCTGAATGTAAATCACATGACCACGGGGATGCTGGTCATGTGCCACTTTTTCGGTGCCATTGTAACTTTGAACGGCCACTAAATGAACTGTTGTAAGGCAAGGACTATCTGCATTTAACTAAGACTATAACATCTAATCTGTGTTGTTCAACTTATAAACTGATTAAAATAATTACTGCCTGATATATGAAGTTTCACAAATCTAGGAAATCATAACAAAATCACAATCTTATGTTAAAAAAACTTTGAATTTAGAAAAAATTGAAAATTGACTTTTACAGCTTCATGGAAAAAAAAACTTTTATAGTCATAACCATTTATAGATGATACTTCACTAGAGAACAGCAGCAGAAAACGGCTATTGTGGTTTTTCCCAAAATACCTAGTTGATTATTATGGAAAACAGGAAATGGGACTAGTCTGGACCAGGATCAGATCCAACAGGGCTGCACTTTTCTAAACGTACTTTGAGATTTGGCTGGCATTTGAATTCATTTCAAAATTTTCATTCTTACCATCAGATGGTTTGGAAAGTCCACTGAGGATGTTTAGCAATGTAGTTTTTCCAGATGTGCTATGACCAAGTATTGCAGTGATCTGACCTTCATAAATATCCAGGGACAATCCTAATGTATAAAGAGGTCATGTTTGCTGTATATGATAAATTATACATTGAGGCAACTAGCACCGAGTTCTTCACATTTTTTATCCTGAATTTAATAATTGTTATTGATTCTAGTGCCAGTTATTTTTTTTCTTTTTGCTGGCACTCATGCAACCAGTTTTCCCCAGGACTTCCTATCAAGATGTGGGAGGAAATTAAACAACAATTTGCCTTTCCCTTTTCAACCAATGCCCAGAAGGCTGATGGAGAATGTAGAGATGAAGGTGTAAAAGCCCTGGAGATTGGTCAGAAAGATGAGCTTTGAAAGTTACTTAAATGTAATTGTTAAATTTAAAGCATCTCAGGAAGCTTTCTCTACAAGAAGGAGAGCAGAAATGCCTGTGTTAGGTGCTATCTTTTCACATGAGCCACAATAGTTTGGAATACCTTCTTTGTCCCCAAAATCCCATATATTAATAAAATCATGTCAGTTTACTGTATCTCATGAATTGCTGACATTTTGATCCCTGAGATATCATGTGAGGTCAGACAAGAATTATAATGTTTTATACATTTACTGTTTTCTGGCCAAACATCTAATGAGATTTCACGCGAAGAACCCAAACATTTAATATAAATAGGTAATCTTAAGTTGTGCCCATTTTATTTAAAAAATGATCTAACTTTCAAGCTTCAATGATGGTATTTACGTATGTTATAGATGCTCTGCTTCCCAAATGTTTTGTGCTATTTCTGTCCTATTTCATAGAATCAAAGCTATAATATATATTCTAAAGTTCAGGTATCTTACCTTTCAAAGCTTCTTTTTCTGTGCTTTTCATTTTATAATTTTTTTTAATATTATTTAGTCTAAAAAACAGTAAAATAGTTATTTGTCAGTATATTGTGGAATTTTTCTTACAAATTTCAGAATCACTCAAAATATCATGTTGAAATAGAGAATATTAATTTAGCATTCAATATGTTATAGTAAATATTAGACATGACATACGTTTTCCTCTGGTTCAATAGACCTAATTAAATAAATATAAAATATAATATAAAAAATAATAAAAGACAATACAGATAGTCTTCAGGCTAGGATAGCACATTGCTAAATGATGTGGTTGTAAAGCTTAATACCAGGACCATAGAGGTCATTAAGTGAGGACTTCACATAACATGATGTGGAAGAGGGAATTTCAAGTAAGCAGACCAGGCAGAAACTGAGGGTTGGTACTACAGAGCAGATGCAGATGAGGGGAAAAAGCAGTGGGAATGCAAGCGACTTGTAACCTCCTACAGGCTTGCCATTTACTTTGCTTGTAAGAAGCCATTGTGGAGGATTGAAATGGCAATCACGTGACCTAAAGATGCTGCAACCATTATAATGGTGGCCAAGTGGACAAATTGTGATCATGTAACTTCAGAGATGTTATAACAGGTGCAATTGCAAGGACCAGTCATAAGTCCACCTCATTCAGTATTGTCACAACATTGAATGGTTGCTGAACAGATGGTCATAAGCCAAAGACTACCTGTTGCAGCAGAAATGTATTTCTTACAGCATATTATTTTCTCCTTGTGAATGAATCTCCCACAAAGTCCTCTGACAACCTATAAGTAAAAGAAATTTACAGTATGCTCATATTATTGAATGTCCAGATTCAATGTGTCTTACCTTATGGCTTCCTTCCCATCGAATTCAGGGGGCACAGGCTCAGTATTATCACTGAAGATACTCCCATGACTCCATTCACTTGTAGGAACATTCCCAGTATAGGGGCTTTTTGGTTTACACCAATAGGTCTTCTTCAGAAAAAACAGTGGAGGATAAGGCACCCCATATTTGTCTAAAAAGTATTTTACAAACAGCAAGTTGTCATAAATCCAAACTAACTGTAACTTCTTAATGTTCACATTGCACATACAGTGGAGTACAGTGCTGGTCTTTATTGTTCTTTTGTAGTATTTTCTTAACTGTGAACCTGACAATAAACTGAATTGATGCAGTCAGTTCAGCTACCTACCTAATAAATCATAACCTACATCGAAACTTTAAAAAAAAAGAGGAAAATAGACCAAAGCAACAGGCAGGAATATACAGTATAATTCATTTGAGAATTCTTGCTAATCTTGCTACCTATATCATTAGCAGACAAATTTGCATGTAGCACTGGTATAACTAAGGCTGGTAACCTAGATTTTGTAGTCTGAGAGTCCTTGTGAGTCAATAGTACAATCATCACTATTTTAACTGAGTCTATCCACTTTTCTGTTGGTTGTTCTCTTTTTTCTTGTCTTTGACCTTTTCCAGAAATAGAATCATTTCCACAAACTTAGGTCTTGGTGGAATATGTCTAAAGTAGGACAATATGAGCCTGACCTTTAGGCCTCAAGTGAGTATTCTGAATTGATTTGTTTGTTGATTCATCTGTTTGTTTGTTTGTTTGTTTGTTTCGTTGCCTGTTCATGGTACTTTTCAGGTCCCTTCTCTTAACACCAAAGTTCAAAATTATTAGTATTCTTCCTAACCTGCTTCTTAAAAGTTCAAATTTCACTTCCATAGAACTTGTGCATTTGTGTATCTTGGTAGTAAATTTACTAAAAATAGGAACATGAATAGAAATATTTTAAGAGGTGCAAATGCTGGTAGAAAAGTATTTGGTGGAATAATTCTGTTGTGAAGATGCTTGTCAAGAGAAGCAGAAATTGCTAAGTATAAAAGCGGGTTTCTACCAATTCTGTAGATATAAGTGGGAGCTGGATATGTCAGGAGAAACAAACACAGTGCAAATGTGTTACTTAAGAACTGTGAATGGTGAAACAAGAGACTAAATGAGACCCAGAAAGAATGGGTGCTGAATGTTTGCGAATTGAATGCAAAGTACTGATTTGTATGAAAGCAATGCATTGGAATTGTTGTAGGGAAAATAAATGGGAATGGAATTGCAACACAAAAATGAGAAGCCAATGGAATCGATGAGCTCCACAAAATGACTGAGGTTTAGAAAACAAAAGGGAAGTTTTCCTTCTCTCTTGTTATCTACCTTTAATTTCATTTGCTTACTCTACACCATTTCTCTTCTTTGCATAGCATTGGTTTCTTTAAAACACTCTACAACTCATACATGGTTGCACAATATGTGAACAAGACTGTTGTATTTAGGGGCTTCAGATTAATTTCAGTCAACTTAATCTAAAGAAAGATATAATACTTGCTGTCTCAACTTTGTTATTTTCCTCCATTTTTCAGGCCACAGTTTATTCCTAATTCAGAAATGATGCTTCTGAGATAGTGAAAAGCAACTTGAAGAAATGTGGTCTTGAAACTATAATATATTCACAGTAATATTCTTACCAGGCACAACCTTATCAAAATAGAAAGCCAGCAGCATGTATAAGACGCTGTCAATAAGCAAGCAATAACCATACGGTTCCAACATTAAGTCAGTAAAATCAAAGGTCCTTCCATATTTTTGAAAATAGAGAACCTGCATGAAAAGAACAAAGGGTTTGTTTTTTTAAAAAAAAATCAAATTCTCATAGGAAAGAACAAAGAATTGAAATGAAACTAACTGTTTAGTAAGTTAAACTATTGTCTAACCCTCTTGGAATGGAAGCATGGGTGTCAGCAGGATGAAGGAAGGATTAGAATAGAATGACATTTTGGGTCCATGTTCAGTTTGCTATGTGTTTCTATCAAAATATCTTTGGAAGAGAAATATCTATGCCACCAGAGTGAGTGTCAGATGTGTTTCCTGTTAGTTGCATCATGATTAGGAATTTTAAGTAAAATACTGTGCATTACTCTACCTTTGAAAGCCCAGCACCAAAAGCAAATGGGCAGAAGATGCTCAAAATCAACTCCAAACTTGGAGGTATCAACCTGATTGTTGTAGTAACGTTGAGGGCTCCCAAACAAAAAATGAAGATGAAAATAACAAAGCTAGTGGTTCTGGGTTTCTTTAGGAGAGAGCTCAACATGAAACAGAGACATATCTGCAAAAGAAAAATTGTTCAGTTAGTACAGTCTCTACAAATGTGCAAGAATTAGTGTATTATTATTCTGTACTTATATGTAACTGTTGCACCCTGCACTAAAAAGGTAAATTGTTGCAATAGATACTTGCAGGCCAGGATTCAAACTGAACTGAATTAATAGGAAGACAGTGCATAATGCTTTCCCGTAGCCATGTTTCCCAAAAGGTTATTGTATCTCTAAAGAAGAGGAGAGAGAGCCCATTCAAACTGTAAATGCTCAAGATAAAGAGAGTTAAAAAATCAGCAGTAGGGGGAATTCAGTCCATCTGGCTCTAAGTGCTGGGGCATTCAGACAACATGCCCACAAATGGAACCTGGCACCTATTTTTGCTTCCTACTCTTTCCACAGGCTCCTAATGCTACCATGCTCTTTAATTTTGAATGTATCTATTCATTGCTCTGTCACTCAATACTGATAGTTGAACTTTTTAACCTAGAACCATAGCTATCGGACTTCATTATCTTTGGAAACTTCTGCTAGATAACAACTGCATAAGAATGTTCCCCCACATATATTTATTTTAGAGGGTGTCCATTTCCCCAACCTTGCCCCAACTATCACAAGCTGGAGAAAACTCCAATCTTCTTATCCCATGTAGGGATCTTCCTCAAGAAACTACTCCAATAAAACTTGCAAGACAGTCTTCAGAGAGCATCAAAGACCTACATATTCCATTTGTGGTGATTATAATGGTAAGGGCAACAGCAAACTAATATTCAGTCAAGTGATACTCAGGATATCCTTTTCAAAACTAAGGAAGTAACAGGTTCTCTTTAACCAGCCTAAGCCAGTTAGCAGACTGGAACATTTGGGATGGGCTAAAAATTCTCAATAAACATTATAAACATTTAATAGTTATTTAATCTCAAATTTATCAAGAAATGAATGATGTAGCCATATTTTCAATATTCTCTGGAAAGGTGCAGTCAACTTATCAATGAATACAAAATAGAGAGGTCAATGAATACAAAATAAGTATACCTTTTCCTATCTTTCATCTAACCAAATAAAAAAAAAGTTTCTGCTAAAGGAAATAATCTGTCCAGGTGTGCTTTCATTGAACTGGTATCTCCAGGATCTCTCAAACTAGTCCCATGTTTGGGTACTTTATTAAAAAGAGAGAACACTTGAGAAATAAGTGTTTTAATTTAATATTTAAAAAGTTTCTTCTTAACCTGGTCCAGAAACTGTCCTCCAGCAGAACAGAAATATTTATTGCATCAAACATATCACTTTAACTGAGAAAAGGAAAGCTGAAGACTTACAGATGAAATGCCATAAAGGAAAAGCAGGACAAATAAGATAGAATTGCTGGTTAGGTAAAAATATGTAGCTTTCAGACAAAATGTCAGCACCACGCTTGGAATTGAGATGTATATGGTGTACAGCAAACCCCAGGAGAGCCTATGAAGAAAAAGACATTGTTAACCTTCTTGTTAACATTTATCTGATTTTTCTCCCCCTTCCCTAAATAATTTCTCCAGTTTAGCTCAATATTATGGTCCAAACCAGGAGAAAAACATTGATTGCAGGAAAGGCTTCTCTTGTTCAGTGAATCCGAGGCTCTTATCATTAAATGTCATTTGGCAATCATGTCTTGTTAAGAACAGGAGCCCAATATGAAGAAGAGTGAAGGCCTTTGATACCCTTCTCATGACCCCTTGTCTACACCAATTCGAGGAATGACAGAAAAATAAAATTATTATTATTTTCTTTAAATGTGTTGGCTGTCCAACACCAAGGAGCCAAGGATGGCTCTTTAAAATAAAGATAAAGCAGATGTCTCCCTCAACTCTTCCCAGATTGCTGAGTCTTTGGTGAAACAATGGTAGATGTAATCAAAGAATATCCACATAAGAATATGCTTTGTGCGTCTGTTTCTTTTGCTATTCAAAGCGAGGACTTAGTGGCTCTTGTTGAAAACTTCTTTTGTCAACTAAAGGAAGCTAGAAAACAGTTCCATGGCTATCAGTTTTTTGGCATCTTTTTTGCTTAGACAGAGGAGTGACATCTTGGGCTGATTAAGGAAGTTGCTGTAAGGCTCCTGATCTCTATGGAATGACTTCTATGTTGCAGTCCTTTTAGCTCAAATGTCTTTTTATTTTTATACCCTTTCCATTTTTCTCCATAGCTAATTTTCATTTAAGAAAGCAGAACTGTGTCGTAAAATCAATCTAAAATGCTATTGAGTCTTGCCAAAATTGGTCCAAGTGATAAATGATAAATCCTAGCTGGCTAGAAGCAGTTTTCTAAAATGAATAGACGATCCAGTTTTGGAGTAGACCCTAGTGACATTATGCCTCTTCCAAGT